GTTTAGCAAGTAACCCTGGCTTTGCAAAATGGGATGTTTTATGGACTTCCCACACGGGATAACATGTGTCAGGCACTTAGCACTGTTGAATATGAGGTACTCCCTCTGTTGTGGTCCTTTAATTGCCCTGCACCCCGGGCCTGACCTAAGAGCCACAAAGTGTCTGCAGACAACTGATGGGCGAGTCAATTCTTGGTAGAAAGGGAAGATCACCTCCCACTTCCTGCACATTATATTCCTACTTATGCATTCCGATGTCCTGCTTGCTTTTTTAGGCTCTAAGTGCTATCCTGCTGACTCACTTCCAACTTCTCGTTCATCATGCTCAGCTCCTGAAAATGGAACGGAATGGAAAGGGCCGGAAATTGTACTGTCTGGTGATGTGTTTAAGGGCCAGTCACTTCACGTGGATAGAATGCTGGGCACATGAACTGAGCCGACCCAAAGTGTATTTCGCATCTGACATCTGGGGCACTTGGTTGCAGATTATAATACTAATAATAACCAGTGAACTTGCTGCCCCTGCGGGGGGGAGCCAGGAGACCCACGGCTGTGTGCCTGCCATGGATTGTCTCTGTAAATCATCACAATTGCACAAGTTGGGGATCCCTTCTCACTGACAAGGAAATTCACACTGAAATAGGTTAAGGAATTTATCCAAGGTCACGTGACTAGTGAGGGGCAGAGCGAGCATTCAAACATGACATACATCTTTCCTAAGATGGCAGCCACCAGTCCCATGTGGCTGAGAAGCATTGATCAGTGAGCCTGAAAAAATGGAATATTTTATTTGAAGGAGTTTGTTGTACATAAGCGCAAAGCACATACAGATTAAGTGCACGTGTGACACACATGACAGTCCTTAAAAAGTTCATGGAAAACAAAATTAAAAGTATGAGCTTCTTTCGGTGCAAAAATATATCTTCTGTTAAAAACTATTATGGATTTCAATAAGCATGCTTCATGCTTCTCATTTTTTCCATGAGCTTTTTTTTTTTAAAAAGATTTAAAACGTTTTATTGGAAAGGCAGATTTACAGAGAGGAGGAGAGACAGAGAGGAAGATCTTCTGTCCGATGGTTCACTCCCCAAGTGTCCGCAACTGCTGTGGCTAAGCCAAGCCAGAACTTCTTCCAAGTTTCCCACGTGGGTGAAGTGTTGCAAGGCTTTGGGCTGTTCTCAACTGCTTTCCCAGGCCACAAGCAGGGAGCTGGATGGGAAGCAGAGCTGCTGGGACTAGAACCAGCACCCATATGGTATCCTGGCATGTTCAAGGCAAGGACTTTAACCACTATGTTATCACGCTGGGCCCTAGCATGAGCTTTTGAAGGTCTTTGTAATGAATATCTCTTAATATTGCTCATGTTAAAATTATAATGTTTCATACATATGAGTTTCAATAAAATATAATTTTTAAAAGTTTTTCTTAGATTTTATTTGAAAAACAGCCCCAGAGACAGGGTCTGATTTTGTAGCTACTAGTTGATCCCCCAATTGCCCTCAACAGCCAGGACAAGCCTGGGCCAAAGTCAGGACCTCGGTACTCGATCCAGGTCTCCCACTTGGGTGGCAGGGACCTCAGTACTTGAACCACCATGTGCTGCCTCCCAGGATGTGTCTTTGCAGGAAGCTACACAGGAAGCTGAGGGGCTGGGACTTGGGCCAGGCACTCTGATGCAGAATGCAGGCTTCTCCTGCAGCAGCTTAATCGCTGTGCCACACACCAATTCCAAAATCTATTTTTAAAATTCTGCTTCTTTTGATTTTTAATGTAACTACTAGAACATCTATAATTTTATGGGCTCAGGACAGGTGCTTAAATTAAGATGGATTTATTTTTATTAGAAAGGAAGGTGACGTTATTAGAGAGGAGGAGAGACAGAGAGAGAAACATCTTCTATCTATTGGTTCACTCCCCAAATGGCCTCAAAGGCCAGAGCTGAGTCGATCTGAAGCCAGGAGACAGGAGCTTTTCTTCTGTGTTTCCCATGCTAGTGCAGGGGCCCAGGGACTTGGGAATCGCAAGCAGAGCCGGGACTCAAGCAGAGGCCACTGTGCTAGGGGATGCTGGGATTCCCACAGGCCTCTTGTTCGCTGTACCAAACACTGCCCTGTAGGCACCTGCTGTAGTAAGTACTACACGAGGCACCAAAAAGGAAGCAGAGTCTTAGAACAAGCCTATTTCCTCTACTTCAGTGTTTCTCAAACTTCAGTGCCTGTAGGAATCACCTGGAAGGTTTGTCAGATTCTTGGCCACCCTCCATCCCGAGTCAGTAGGTCTGAGCTGTAACAGTGACTGTTTTGAGAAGCTTCTAGGAAACTTCACTTTGGAGGTGAGTGTTGTACACTGGAAAATTGGAAAGGCATCTCAAATATTAAGTGATGGTAAGGGTAGAAGACACTTAACCTATATAGAATATCAACAGTTTGCTAACCATCGCTTTGTTTAATCCTCATGTCAGTTTGATGAGGCACATATTACATCAGTTGAAGATCCTGGGGCTGAGGATTAGTTAGAGTGCCTAAATTGTAGAATTAAAACTTCCAAATGGCATAACTCAGATTTGTATTCATTTCTCCTGCACTGAGTAACTCATGCAAATTCAATTCACCTATGTCAGACACTGCCCAAGGAAGCAGGCATGCTACACTGAGCTAGACAAGCTCTCATTCCTGATCAAATTCAAGCAGCTATTGAAACACAGAGTCCTCAGTGTTGTGAGGGAGACGTCTCACAGAGATATATACTATAGAACATGGAAGATGCAAGCTTTTTTTTTGTTTGTTTCTAAAGTGAGGTTTACAGCAAACACCAGAAGGATGCATTTGAGGAATGGAGGATGGACAGGAAGTGTTTGAGGCTGGAGATATGAATGAAAGCACAGAGGCAAAAAAAAAAAAAAAGCATTTGAGGAAGTATAAGAAGTTCAGAACATCTTGAGTATGAAAGTAGAGGTGAGGGATAAAGTCCTTGAGTTAGGCAGGAACCGGGTCATGGCAAGCTATTTAGATTTACTGATTTCATTTAAGAGTAGGGACAGGGTCAGATTTGTACAGTAGATCCCCCAGTGTTCTATCTTGAAAGTTTTGGTGAAAACAAATGCTATTAATACCGGCTTTTCCCCCCATATATACATATCTATGATAAATTTCAACTTACAAATTTGGAAAGTAAGAGATTAACAATTATGTATAATGCAGCATTAAATGATGATATGCTAATAAAAGTTACAAGAACGTGGTTTCAAACTACCTTCTGGACCATACTTAGTCGTCTTGTGATGATGGGCAATAACACAATACCTATGTGAAAAGATATATAACACCTACAGAATAAGATGAATGACAGGTGTGGCAGATGCTTTTCTGAAGGTTACTTGAACCTACAGATTCTGCCATATGGATACATCTAGAGTCTAGATGGGGGTTACTGAGTGGCTATTGGGTGGCGGTATCCACATTGTGGATAGGCGGATACGCTGGATGGTTTACCTCTCTGGGCAGGAGGAGATTGGTTGGTGTGAGATTTCAACCTGCTACTCCAAAGAATGTGCACCTTAGAACTTACATTCATTTTTGGGGCTTTCCATTTAATATTTTCAGACTGCAATTGACCGCAGGAAACTGGAGCCAGGAAAAGTAAAATTGCAGGAAGGGGAAATGTCTATATTTTAAAATTTTTTTAAAGATTTATTTTATTTTTATTGGAAAGGCAGACAGAGAGGAAGATCTTCCATCCGATGATTCACTCCCCAAGTGTCCGCAACTGCTGGAGCTAAGCCGATCCGAAGCCAGGAGCCAGGGTCCCAAGGCTTTGGGTCGTCTTCGACTGCCTTCCCAGGCCACAAGCAGGGAGCTGGATGGGAAGAGGGGCCATTGGGATTAAACTGGCGACCATATGGGATCGTGGCGCATGCAAGGCGAGGACCTTAACCACTACGCTATCGCACCGGGCCCTCCTGTAAGCTTATTATGCCATATTTTCAAAAAAGTAAATTTAGAGAAGTCTTGAGGAAGATGTTATTTCAGAAAGATGCAGTGTCCCGAACTTAGTTGAGAAAATTACCGTTGCTAGATTTACGTTCTTTGTTTTAATTTGTAGCAACATCTTTATCTGTTGTTGCGAGGGAGTCCTGAATGCTGGAGATAAAGCCTTTTGCCAAGATCAGGATTAACCATGGGAGGACCGGCCAGGGGCAACGGGCTCTCAATCTACTCGGAGTTTCTTCTGTGACTGTCTTCTAGAGTCACCTTGGGCCCGGAGTTTCTCCTCTCATCTGTTCCTATCCTACATCTTTCAATGGGTTATGGATGGTTCTATCAATGGACCAGCCACGATGTGGACACCGCCTTCTCATCTCAGTGCCCGCCCCCTTTTAGACCACACCCCTTTGATCGGTGCCGCCCCGTGAAGAGGTCGTCTGCGATATGACAGAGAATTCTCCACATTTTTGCCCTATAGGAGATCTGTAGGGCGGGACCCAGATCAATCTTTTTTTCCATTTGTCAAATCAAGCGTCTATCTGGTCCCAGTCCCAACCCACTTCACTTTCGACTCAAGGATTGGTTAGCTGGGTCTTTGTCTCAGGCTCATGATTGGTTCTTTCGTGCCGGCCCTGTCTTCCAGCCTTTGCAGGCGGGATTAGCACGCAGCTTCCTGCTCTTGCCAAAAAAAATAAAAGAAGAAAAAGAAAAGAGAGAGGCGAAAGAAAATGTCACGGAGCTCTTTGGTTTTTAATTGGTCTCTAGCCTTGTCCGTCAGGGCCAACTCTGCCGTTTGATTGGCTTCTCTATCTGCCCATCCAGTATCCGGGCGGGATTTCCCCAGGAGACCCACACTTTGTTGCCACTGGTCGAACAGTGCGCCTGTCTGATGTTCCCGGGCCAGGATTGGAGGCGGGCGAGCACAGGTGGGCGTGGATTGGCTAGGGCAGCCGGTCAGTGCGAGGCGGGGGCGGGGCCTCGGCGGCTGGTTGCGCGTGTCCGCCGCTGGCTCCGCTCTATCCGGCTTTGCTAGGGGAGGTGAGTCCGGCCGCGGCGGTACCGGCGGCTGAGGAGGAGGCGGCGGCTGAGGAGAAAGCGGCCGCGGCGGCTGAGGAGAAAGCGGCCGCAGGGACGGAAGCCGGGTGGGGGGGAGGGGGGGAGACGGAGCAGCCTTGAGCCCTGCGGGGGCCGTCGCGCGGGGGGACCCACCCGCTCTCCCCCCCAACCCTCCTCACAGAAGCTGCCGGCGGCGGGGGCAGGAGTCAGCTCGCTTCCGACCGTCCCCCGGCCGCCTCCCGGGGCTCCTATTCTTTGGCCCCGGGACCCTGACCTCCTCCCGGGGCGGTTCCCTGTGTCTGGGCGTCCGAGTGCTGCCCACTGCTCTTGGATTCCGCCCTGCATCTCGTTGCCTTCACTTTTGCCCCGGTTCTCTTTCTCCTCTCCGTCCTGTCTGTCGCCTCCTCTCCTCACTCCGTCCCTCCAGCCTCCTCCCCTGGTTCTTTTCTGCCGAGGAAAGTTTGGTACCACCGCCCCCGCCCCCATCGTGTCCAGCCGGCCAGGACTAGGGGGAGATGTAGGAAGGGCCCGAGAGTTCGAGGTGGGGGAAGCTGTTTTCCCTGAACATTACACCCCACCCCCCGATCCGTCTAATTTAGGGTGGTTGGATTTTTTTTTTTAAATACCAATTGTGTTTTTTTGAGGAGGTGGTAGGTGTTTAGAAAAGGATGTGGGAATGGAAGGGGTAGATGAGTCAACCCTCTTAGGAGATTCCAGGGGTGCTGTGTTACCTGATCCTTTCTGTGTGAGGAGTTCAGGAGGTTGGGAGGCTTGGCCTTTATTCCCACAGTCAAAGTTGGAACCGCCCCCAAATTAAGAATGGAGTTTTAGTACCCACTTGTGGCAGGAAACCTGGGGGGAAGGGGTCCTTTTTTCCTTTTTCTCCCCCCCTTTTTTTCTTTCTTTTTTTTCTTTCTACTTTTTTTTGGGGGGGCAACCCACACCCTTCCACTCAACACTCACCTCCAAAATTAAACACTCAAGATCTCCTTCTAACTTATTCGGATTGACTGATGAAGACATAAAGCCAGTTCCGCTTTGTTTTCTGAGGTGGAGTGAGTGGGGTTTTTTTTTTTTTTTTTCCATTTTTTTTTTAATGGCCAAATGACAGCTTGACCCAGTTTGCTTTCCAATCAAAGGGCATTTTTTTTAATGTCTCTTTGTGGCGCAAGAGCTAACGCAAAAATGATGGCGGCTTACAATGGCGGTACATCTGCGGCAGCAGCAGGTCACCACCACCCCCATCACCACCACCTACCACACCTTCCTCCTCCTCACCTGCACCATCACCACCACCCTCAACACCATCTTCATCCGGGGTCGGCTGCTGCTGTCCACCCTGTACAGCAGCATACCTCTTCGGCAGCTGCGGCAGCCGCTGCAGCGGCCGCAGCCGCCGCCATGTTAAACCCTGGGCAACAACAGCCATATTTCCCATCACCGGCACCGGGACAGGCTCCTGGACCAGCCGCAGCAGCCCCAGCTCAGGTGCAGGCTGCTGCCGCTGCCACCGTGAAGGCGCACCATCATCAGCACTCGCATCACCCCCAGCAGCAGCTGGACATTGAGCCCGATAGACCCATCGGATATGGAGCCTTTGGCGTTGTCTGGTGAGTATCCGAAGACCACCACCGGCACTTCCTGTGCTCTTCAAGCTTGTGATTGGGCGAAGCCACTTGGGTTTTCTCCATGTTGGCCAAAAGCAAAGCCAAGAGCGGCCTTGGCTCTTGGAAGCCACCCTCACTGCTGTGGGAAAGAGGCCTCGCCGCTCAGGCTGCCCAGGCATGTGCTTGTCCAGCTTGACAGCTTTGGGTAGAGCACCTTGTTCACGAGTTACACCCCTAAGTTTGCTTAGGGGCAAACAAACTTTCCTGCAGAGGACCTAAGCAAAACCACTTGTCAGTAGGGTCAAGAAGAATATATGAAATACTCATGCAAACATGTCTTGATTCTCATTGTCCTCTTTCACATGCTTCATTTTGTTGGGTTCTTTGCCCAGTGGCAACACATGTCAATGACTGACCCAAACTTGAGGTTTTTGTTTTGTTTTTGAATTATGTTGCCATTAGGTTACACTTTGCCTATCTCTTCTTGATCCTTAGAAGGAAGGTGGGGTTCACCGAGGAGCCAGTTAAGACCATTGCTTGAGTGTTTTATTTTAAACCTTAAGGCTACAGTTGTATGTAGCTTTGAGCCTTTTGGTAAGAATGCATTAAATATAGTATCACACATGAGTAGCACAAATGAGGTTAGTAGACTAGCTATGCAGTGGCCCACATTCAGGGTATGTTTTAGTGTCACTGCATCTTCAGTTGCTGGTGATCCCACTGTCAGTTGCTGTGATGGCAAGTATGCTTTTTAAGTTGCTTGGCTTTTGCCAGTTCTGTGGTATTCTGAAGTCTTCAGGGCTTCTTACGTTCAGTGTAGTGGTTGACTTCCCCTCTTTGGAAAGTTAGTACTTAGTAATGAAATACACTCCTATCAGAACTAGAATGAACTTGAATTTCCCCCCAGTGATGAAGCATTCTGCTGTGGTAGATGCATTGATATTTTCAGTACATTCAGAAAAAGATTCTTAGCAAGGTCTAGAAAATCTCTTGTCACTACAGAAAAGTGAACTCTTTGGAATTATTGCAGTAAATAACTCTTTTTGTCCTTGTTTTTGAGATTGGAATTGGTAAGACTATCCTTCCTACGTTATAATTGGCTGTTTTAGTGTTTGTGTTTCAGATTTTATAACTGAAGCAACTAGGTGAACTGGGCCCCACTCTTAGTGGAGTCACCTTTGCCATGTGTCTTTAGGAGGGAGGTTGCTGCTGTGTTCTCCCTTCTCCAAGCCGTGGGGGTCACTGGAGGGTCAGGTACCTGACAGTGTTACCTCCCCGGCCACACTGTGTACCCAAGTAGCTCTCCGGCTTCCCGCAGCCTGTCCTCAGGGATTGCGCGGTGCACTTCTGTTCCCTGCCTAACCCTTGAGGAGTTCCAGGCTGTGAGGAGTGGTCAGGGGGATAGGAAAAACGGCTGTTCCTTGCTGTAGATTTTTCCACTGTTTTACTTTGAGAGTTTGAGTGAGGTTTTGTTGTTTCGCTCTGGATACGCTCTTTGATTTTGATGCTTTGCGTTTAGGACTAAGAACTGGGGAGACTGAAAGGGAAATGAGTTGTACCATTTTTTAATATGAACATATGTTGTTACTTAAATTTCTGTCAAAAGGTGATATGACTGGTTGAAATTTTAACTTCGAGTTGATGATAAGGAAAAGAGTTTTTTAAAAGGGAGAGCGGCAAAGAACTGTAGTGCTGAAACGTCTCACACAGCAGCCATTCTGGTGGTGGGTATTGTGAATCACCCGTGACTGGAAATCCAGATGTGTTTGATTTGATTCAATTGTGGATTTCAGTGACCCCTTCTGCCACCTGTGGGGTTTGCAACATCTGTTTGAAGTACTGCTCTGCGCACACGTTCTGTTGTACACCAGGTCTGTGTTTGCTGTCTTGCTGACTGTGTAAACCCCTCGGGGGAGGGTTAAGGACCGTCGGTGCTGGGGCATCGGTACTGCTTGGCTAATTGAGCTCCTGGTCAGGTCCTTCTTTTTGGGGCTTAAACAAACTTTTTTCCGTCATGATTCTGGAGGATAGAAATCCAGGATCAAGATGTGAGCAGGTTTGGTTTCTTTGGACAAGGCCCCTCTGTGGCTGTCCTCTCATGGTGTCCTCACATGGCTGGTTATCCTCTGTTTTCTTTTTTAAAAAGATTTATTTATTTTTGTTGGAAAGACGGGTTGATAGAGGAGAGACAGAGAAATCTCTTCTGTCCACTGGTTTACTCCCTAAATGACCTTAACGGCCAGAGCTGAGTTGATTTGAAGACTGGAAACAGGAGCTTCATCCGGGTCTCCCACATGGGTGCAGGGTCCTAAGGCTTCAGGCTGTCCTTTACTGCTTTCCCAGACCACAAGCAGGGATCTGGATAGGAAGTGGAGCAGCTGGGACTTGGACTGGTGCCCCTCATGGGATCCTGGCACTTACAAGGTGAGGATTAGCTAATTGAACCATCATACTAGACCCTATTCCGTTTTCTAAGCAAATTTTTTAGTTCCTACATTGAGTGTTTTTATCAGCTGTAACAGGTGAATTCTAGTTTGATATGGAAAGGGAGAGCTCCAGGTGTGTGTTTTGGTATGCAAATACTTTTCTTTTTTTCTATTTCCATATTGATGACTTGCTGTCTGAATTGCTGATTATGTTTGGAATATAACTGCTGGAGTTGCACCAGTCCTCTGAAATCCAAAACAAAGATATTTGTAAGATTTTCAGCTTTTTAGCCAATCGTGTTATGGGTCTGAAGTCACTGTATATTTCCCAAAATGGTTAATATGGTACATTAAAATGTTCTTCCAATGTTAGTCATACCATAGAACAACTTGGGAATTCTAAGATTTACATATATTAAAATACGCTTTCATTAAATATATTTAGCAAGTGCTCTTCCTATTAGCCTATGACGGGAAACCCTCATTTTTTTCCCCTGAACATTGACTCAGTTGTGCTAATGACTAAAAAATGTGGCATGGAGGGGCCTACGGGGCCTCTGATACTGGAATGTTGGTTTGAGTCCCAGGCTTCTCTGCTTCTGTCCAGCTCACTGCTAAAGCTCCTGGTAAAGCAGGAGATGGCGACCCAAGTGTCTGAACCTTGCCGCCATGCACGTGACTGAGATTGAGTAACTGGATCCTGGCTTTGGCCTGGCGCAGCCCTGGCTGTTATAGCCATGTGGGGAATAAACCAGCAAGTGGAAGATTTGTCTCTTTTTCTGACACTCTGCCTTTCAAGCTAATTAATTAAAAAAAAAAAACCAGCATGTAATTTGAAGGACATTTTCTCTGCATGTGGACAAGGAGAAATGTTGTAGAAGTGATACTGCATTTTACCATTCAGATTTATTAATGAACAATTTATTCTACCTAACTTGATTTATCTTTCTGCTGAATTTAACTAGTGGAAAAACTTGTCAGTGTTGGACAGCTGTGTAAAAGTGGTGAATTACCCATTAGCTTGCCGGTAAAGGTGGTACTTTGACAGTTCAATTAAGGTTTCATTAACAGCTGTCTGTTGTGCTTTATCTCAGAGTAAAGGTTCCAGTTTGCGTGGTAATATGATCGTAGGGTAACCTGAGATGCATTCATTGCCAGTGGTAGTATGTTCATGGGTTATCAAAATGTTATATATAATTTGACCTTCATTATCAGATGTCAAGGCTTCCAGAGGTTTATATGGGTATTTTCATAATGCAAAAATAAAAAATCTTTAGTCATTTAATGAGAATAATAATAAATTAATTTTGCCTGAGTTCCCATTTGCAGAGGCAAATGAAGAGTGATTTTGAGTTAGAGAAAGTTGACTATATGAGAGTAAAGGACTGCTAAAATGGAGCTGTTTTTGACATTGGTACCCTAAGACTGAATTAATGACACATTTTGCTGGCTAGATAAAGAGTCTTGGAGAAATGTATACCTTATAACTTAGTGTTTTGGTTTTTGACTTGTCTGATTAATTAAATGATCAAAAATCCTAAGATTTATTTGGTTTTTTTGTCTTTGTACTCTAAGTAAAATTGAAGAGCTTTGAGTTTTCTTCTAATACCTAAGCTGGGTACTTTCAACTGCCTTGCAAAACTGAAGTATCACTAGTGAAACTTAGTTACCTGTCAGCTCTGTGATCTGGATTTAACCTTCCTGTACCTATTTATAAAAGAAGGGCCACAGTGATACGTATCGTAGGCTTGGAGCAACCCACTGAACATACTCTGCAGCACACAGTAAGCGCTCAATAAATGTTGGTTTTTAAAATTATAGTGGGTAGAAAAAAGCTGCTTTGTAAGTGTGAAATATCTTCAAGAGTGCAGACTGACCAGAGGAGCTCAACCTTCTGACTGCTTTTGGAGCTGTACCCACTAATCCCACAGAGGGGCCCTCGGTTAAAGATGATTAAATCCAGAGCTGAGGGGAAAACACTCTGACCTGTTCTCAGTGAATTGAAAGTAAGCGAATAAAAAGTAATACACGGTTGTATGTATTGGACAGGTGTTACACCTACATCATCTACACTGTTTTCTGCTATGGATCTCTGGGCTGGGCAGAAAATACATTTTTTATTTGCATAACATAACAAATGAAAGTTATATTTTTTTGTTAAAGTTGAATTTAAGTTGAAGTTCATTTTACTTGTTTCTGGATGATATGTGAATTGCCAACAAAGATTCTGATAATATAGGGGAAATTTGTGTGATTAAGAAATTAAGCCTAAATGCTACACATGATAGTGATTATCTAGCTTGCTCACTTGCTCATCTTGTAAGCGTTAGAGGCTTTTTTTTTTTTTTTTTTTTTTTTTTTTTTGATGTTGGCTCTGGTCCTCTTATCCACAAGTAGCAAACTTTAGCTTGGGAAAATGGAGAGTGATTTTGGATTATGTTTGGGGAAAATGCTTGATTTCATTGGATTAGAAAAGAAAGTACAAAAAATGTACAAAGTACAGTGTTAACTGTTTTTCAGGTGAAGAGTCTGTTCGTAGTGTTGAGAAGTTCCCTGCTATCAGCTAAGATTAGCAGC